AAAAGACTGAAATAGCCAGTGTTTGTGGATGTGTGTGTGTGTGTGCATGCACATGCTTGTTGGGAAATCTGACCCTAGCTTTCAGTTCTTCATGCTTATCAGCTGTGCCAGAGATGGTGTATAAGAGATTTGTGAAAAAAGTCACAAAAAAGTGCCATCTTTCACGAATATAGTTGACACCCTTAAAAAAAAAAAGAAAAAAAAAACTTAAATACACAAATCCCATGTTCTTCAGAAAGAGGCAATGATTTTAGAACCTATTATTTAATTAAAGGGGTCATATGATGCCTGGGGCTGATCCGTGCTGGTCGCTGAGGAAATACATCAACTTCGTGCTGTGGATCACCGGATCGGCTTTCACCGTGGACGAAGCGGAGTCCAGCCCGGGGTCGTCACATGTGGTTGCCGCAAGCCCACCGGCCGCTCCTTCGTCGAATCCGCCGGCTGCGCCATTCTCAAGCCCACCCGCCGCCGCTCACTCTAGCCCGCCGGCCTCCGCTCAGTCTAGCCCGCCATGTGTTTCGTTGTGAAAGCGAAACTACTTCGTTTGGTCATCCAAAAGAGGACGCGACTAGAAATCAGTGGTTAAGTTGTATTTACAACACTGTTCCAGAACACTTCAACCCAAATATTCAGATGTGTGCAGCACATTTTATGGAGGACTGTTTCCTGATCCTGGGAGAGTAGACTACAATGCCGGCTGTTCTGACTCACAGACTGTAAGTACGTTTTCATTTAAAGGATTAGCCACTGATGATTCAAACGCGAGTTTTGAGCAGTGTAGAGTAGCGCTTGTTTGTCATTTCTCCGATCACAAATGCAGACATGGTTTATGTTAACACGCGTTTATGTTTACGCGGCGTGATGCAACGCAACGCAACGCATAAAAAGACAGTATAAGTCATTATAATTTTCAGACCGATGAGCTTTGTAAAAATCGACACGTTTCAGAAAGGCGGGGCATAGAGGAGAAACAATAATGTACAGTATGTGGAAAATAATGTGGGTTTTTTTTACTTTAAACTGCATAAACACATTTCATTACACCAAATACACAAAATAATGTTCTTTTTAGCAACATGACCCCTTTAAATTATCAGAACATAAAAAAGTATCTTTCTTTATACTTCAGTGTTGACTGGATTCAACAAACTCAACCATTCTGTCATGTTACCAAGGTTATTCTAAGAAAAATAATCAAACAAATATTTTACTTCAATTTTATATAAAAAAGATTATCAGTAACTACAAACCAACAAACTAGCTAGCCACTAATGAGTAACAGGTTAATTTAGGCTAAATCTGAAACCATACTGATACAAATCAGATCCAGGTCAGTCAGACGTGCTGGTGCAGAAAAAGTTATCAATTTAGTTTGAAGTTGAAGTTAAAGTATTTAAAGTTTCAAATATGCAAATGAGTAATACAATAATCATAATTGAAGCTGAAACATTAAGTTTGAATGAATATAGTCAATCCAATCATTTTACAATAGATTATTTGAGTAATACAACACTATATTTATATCTGGGTCTTGAGTCAAATAAGTCTACCTTTAAAATACAAACAATCAATAGGAGATATAGGCGCCTAATAGAGAGAAGAAAAGGAGAAGTTGAAGCAAAGAGAAATGTAAAAGTATAGAAAAGACCCTACACTGAAAAAATTTACTAAAAATTTTTAAGGTAAGTGGTTGCACTCAATTTATTTTAGCTACATTTAAATAAACAAATTTAGTTGACTAACTTTCAACATGTTTTTTTTTTGTTTTTTTTTAATGTAGCTACAATAAATTGTTTGCAACCACTTACCTTAAAAAAATAGTATAATTTTTTTCAGTGTAAGTCAGGAAGTCCATACATTCTTATACCTTCAGCAAGATCTGATAAATGAAGGGTAAGCCCCCAATTTTGCTTGGTCATACTTAGCTAGGCAAATAGGGCCCCCTACCCTTGGGCTTAGTCATGTTTAACCAGACATATGGTATTATAAAGATATTATTTACCCTGCACATCTCTACTGCTATAAGTCTGCAAAGCATCCAATAGCATTGTGGGTTTTAACACCTTTAGAAGATAAGCAAGATGAGCTAAACGAGCTCAGGTCTCCTGATATGTCTGGATCAAAATTAAATACACCTTCAGACTTTGATGTGGTTTCCAAGAAAATATTTAAAAAGCAAATTCGCAGAAATGACCAGGGGCCCAAGAAGGTATACCTCTGTCCTAATCTTGACCTAATACACACACACACACACTAAAGAAGATAGACTTGAACAGAATCATCCTCACGTATGCATGACACACACAGCTGAGTAGAATACATAAATTATGTATGTTAAGAATACATGAATAAATGAGCAAATAATAAATGAATAAATAAATATATGAAAAGTAATAATCAAAGAATCACACAAGTAAATTCATAATGCAATTCATAATACATAATATCTATATTAATATAGAAATATGTAATAATTAACACAGCACATACCAATTCTCATGATGCTTTTTTTTGGGGGGGGGGGAATTTTAGCACTGAAATGCTTGGTTAAATTTCTTTTTTATTTTCTCTTCTTCTTCTTCTTTTAAAAATATCTTCTTTTTTTTCAATGTTTATCACTTGTATTTTTTGTTTGTGGGGTGGCTGACTAAATGCAAGTGCAAAAAAACTAAAATGACCACACTGTTGTGAAAATTCACTTCCTCTTCAGGCTTTCACAGAAGGCCACATTCGATGTGCATAAAAGATGGCCGGGAAAAAATTGGCACTAATATATAATATAATATAATATATAATAGCAGAGTCTCATCTTCATGCACCAGGGTCTTTTTTTATTTTCTGTGACTTATTTCTACAGAATATAGAAAAATTATAGAACGAACTTTATAGAAAAACTGAAAAATAATTCTGTATAAAAATTATTCAAACATTTTTATAAGTAATTATTTCAAATGTATGATCTTTAAGGATATTAAAGGTTACCAATTACAAAAAAAGTTCTGAAATTACAATTAAAGAATACAAATAAGGAAGGACAAAAGGAAATATTATGCAAGGAACACAACAGAGAGGGATAGAAAAAAGAAGCATAAACAGAAGTTCTTTCTTCCTGTCTGCATTTGTCAGGAAGCTTTGACTTTCTGTCAGGGAGTTTCTGATTTCAGTCTCACTACACAGTGCTGTTTCAGATTAAAAGGCTTTATAATTACAAAGAAGTATGAAATTAATGAAATTAGTCAAACTTACTGTGTGTAATCAAGCCAATTAATATAATTACTGACTTAAATAAGAACGTAATTCAAAGTGTTATGCAAAGCTCCCAATAACATTTAAAAGCTCCAGAGAGTAATAAACACTAAATACTGAATGCTATATTTAAGACACAAAAGACTCAATGTTACTGAAAACCTGTGGTCCTGAACTGGTTTTGCATTAAGGCCCAGACTTTGCATAAAGAACAGAAGTTTGATTTACAAGCTTGTTAACAGTCTGTGTCAGATTTGTATGGTTTTCAAGACTGATGATATAGCTTATGCACGTCCATGTTGCTAACTGCTTAACATAAAAAGCTGCATTCTATTTAATTCATTTAGCTTTATTTTCCAATACATTTCAACTGCCACATCAGGCCAGTGACCTATTTTTGGGCCCCAACCCACCGGTTGAAAACCACGGCTTCAAACCTACCCATCATACCACAAAACCATGGCAAAAAGACATTGTTTTTGATACAGCTTGATATCAACATATCACTACTAACAACATTAGTAGTAAATACAGACACTTCAGAAGAAAATGAAAACTTGGATTCATGTGATAAACATAACTATTCTAACTGATGTGACACTTTTCACTTCCCCTTCACCACCCATTAAAAAAAACTATGACCACATCTTAAGCTACTTTCTCAGAATCCATTTCTGCTTGTTAAACTAAAAAAAAAGACTATATGCTGATTATCTTTTTCTGTTATGCTTGAGCCACCAGGCTAGAAAGTGGCTGACATCTTTAATGGTTTTGCCACCAAAAAAGCAGAACTCTCTGGTGGTTTATGAGATAATATTTAAAAGAAAAATATCCTAACATCAGACTGCAGTCGGGTCATTCAGGCAGACAGGAAAAGGAAAACAGAACAGAAACATCTTCCAATAAAAAACACTCAAGAATAAAAACCCTATAAAGTTTCAAAACCCATAGCACTTTTCTTTATAAATAAATAAATAAATCACAAATAATCACACAGAAGAGGTAGCAGGAGCTCAAAGGTGGGAAACTTTATATTACCAAAACCACAGACAGGAAAAGAAATAAGTTCAGGTTTTGTATTCATTATTTTTTCCCCATGTAATTTGGCTTTTAAGATGTTATCAGACAAAAAAAAAATCAAGAGGATCAAAATAAACTGCTTTATTAAAATGCTTTATTTTCTGTATAAAACAATGGTACATCTTTCTTCATGCACGGTAGTTCAAGTTTTGCACAACATGCCATAAGATGCACATATCATTTCTAAACAGACCAATCAGAATGGATATTCAAATGACACAACATCATTCCATCAAAAACGGTGCTAATGCAAACTGCCCCCCCAAAAAAAAAGAGGCAAACAAAAATATAAATAAATAGCCGCGCATCCAACCAGTCATTGTCAGCAATAACAGTTCAGGCAGACCGGAGTTAATATGCTGTTCAGGGAGCCCAGAAACCATAGCAGTGTCACTCTCAGAAACCTGACCACAGTTTATTGGCTTTGAAGCAAGGAAATATAGTAGCTGCTAAACAGCGGTTTACGTGTTAATGCTAAGAGGTCACAGAAACAGACTTGTGAAAACCATTGCTTCCAATTCTAAAGTTTATCATGTACAAAAGCATGTATTATTTTGCTCTGCAAAAGTGTCAAAATTACACTCACAAATATATACATGTTGATTTCACTATTCTTGTATGTTTTCTTTTTAGGTTTAACTCAGATAAGTTCTTAATTATCGAGCTTATTTTAAAAACAGTCTGGTAGCATAATTGTCAGCAAAAAAAAAAAAAGAAGATTTTTCACATTTGGATTTAATCAGTGTTTACATATCGGCCTCCCCGTAATATTTCCCCACTGACCGGTACTGCTAAAAAGCAAAAATGACATTACAATGAAACTCTTTTAAACTTTAGTCATGCCCTCAGGTCTGTCTCGAATGATCCCTGCAGTCTTTGGAATAGAATTACAGCTTTCTTCTGCAGTGCCTTCCTGGGACTGCATAGTGTGGCCTTCTTCCATAAGTGCTCTGCGATAAATCCCTGATATGCTTTGTCTGAAGCGTCGCCTGACATCCAGTCCCATGCAGAAGTACAGCACCGGGTTTATGCAGCTGTTGAAATATGCAAAGCCCTTAGCAATAGGTAGGCCCACTTTAACAGCATGGCTCTTCTTGTCCACCATCTTGGCGAGCAGTAGGCAGTGGTAGGGGCCCCAACATAAGAAAAAAGCACAGACCAGTCCAGCGAGAATCCGGAGAGGCCTCGATTTTCCAGAAAACCTTGTTCTGCGTATCCCAATGCCAGCTATAACGTAGCAGCACAGGATGACCAGGAAGGGCAACAGGAATCCACATAAGAAGCGAATGCTGTACAAGGCGTTCTTTGCTGAATTGTCACCCTTTGATGCTTCTTTCACCTGCACAAAGTAAATCAGATTTCTGAATGATGACAAACTATTTCACATTTACTATGCTAAAAGAAAGTTCATGTTTAAACAGACAGTTCACACAAAAATTAGAAATTAAAATTAGAAATGTACTCATCTGATGCGTCACATAATGAAATAAAGTGGTACGAAATACGAAAGAATAAGATACGTTCTTGTTTCCATCCAAAGTTGAATCTAACCTATGCGCAAAATTGGAATATTGCATAAAACATTTACGAATAAAACATTTTCCATCCAACAAGTCAAAGAGAACAAAATCGTCACTTTCTGACAAACTGTCACTAAATATCACTAAGAAAAGTAGGAGAAGCTACTGAATATAATAATTTTCACATATAATAAATAACTTGCGCCTCAGAGCGAGCAGACAAAACACAATAAATGCGGTTTCGGAGGTGGATGCCTGGTGTTTGGGAACACAGTCGTGTAAGACAGTTCTGGGAGGCAATTATACAGAAATACTTTGACGACAGACTATGCTCAGGCGTTTCGGAATGCCCATAACAACATTTCAGATGTTGCGTAACGAGAACTGTCTGCTGGATAGTCTAGGTAAGCCATCCCATTGAGCAAAGTCACATGAAGTTTTTGATCCGCATGGAGGAATTTATTTGGTAAATGTGTTATAATCTCCCATTATTCGCATTAACTCTTTTTTTACTATAGTCAAAAACCACCTCAAACAAGCGTATAAACCTTTTTGCGAATTAAGGGATTTTTTTTAAATTTGGCATTTCCATCACTCGTTTCTGATGCGATACGTCAAAATTTGCATAAAAACAGGGTGATATATTTTGCAATATTTTAGAAATGTCGATAAAAAACTGTTGCGAAATGACGGCATTTCCATTAACCAATGTTATGCGACTAAACATATTTTTTCTTCTCACGATAAATAATGGCAATGGGAGTTGATAGGGTTACGTGTATGTCAGCCACGGCACTAGCCATTATTTTTAATCGAAGGAGGCGTATACATATATCTTTAGCGAAGCAACACAGAGAGTCGCTTCTGGGACGCTTATGAAACGTGCCGTGGCGCGGCTGGTACTATAAACTCAAGCACTGACAACCGCTCTTACTTATAAGCGTGAGCCTTGAAATTTCCTGCTCACATAGCAGCTTACAATAGATATTCGAATATTGTCTTATGAACATGTAACTGAAGTCAAGCCCATAGACTTTAGCCAGGATAGCGTCGTATCTTTAGCAGGAATGAAATGAGGCTGTGAGAGATAGAAGTACAGTGCGTTCAATTTGCTTAGCAGAAATACCCATTTCTGCTGATTTTTTCTGGGGGGAAAAATTAAATGGACAAAAACTCCATAAAACAGTTTTGAAAATTCTAACTTTTGAAAACAACATGATCTAGGCGTTTTACATGCAGTGCGTACCATTGTAAAGACTGTCACAGTCTCGTTTCATTCATCCGTGTTAAATTCAGAATTGTGTCTAATCTGACTGAGGTCTGTTTGTGATTGTCATCATAACCACCATTATGACAATGTCCAAAACAGCAAAATGTTATCACATTTGACAAGACAAAAGTTCAATTGAGGTGCTATTTCTTCTGTCAAATCTTAATTTACCGACAGCTTGTACACTTCAGACCACACAGACTACACGGGAGTAGCTCTGGTGGAGAACAGTGACTGGATATAAAACTTAAGATGGCACACAGCTCATATCTGCATCTCTGTAAGAAACCACACATGAAAACCCACAAGAATGCTCTCTTGAACTGTATACCGTGACATACAGTACTAGTTGTCCAATACGGTTCTGTTTACACAACAGGGCTTTGCCGAAAATACAGTTTTGAGTTCTGAAAATTTACTGGTGTGAGTTCGGTTATTAGAAGGCTGTAAATCCCATATATAACCGAGATGTGTATATTCTGCTAAGAGGATGAGTAGACTAAATGATGACAAAATTTCAATTTTGGGGGTATATTTTTTTCTTTAAGTATCTTATTTGCCCCCTTTTTTTGTCTGCTTAGAATGTATTATTTATATAATTAAATGATTCAACCTATGCAATATTATAATATATGCAAATATAATTACTTGATAACCCATTTTTAAATTCACATAGAATTCCAAAGTTGTTCTGACCTCCAGTGAGCACTTGCTCAAGTTGTTGTCACCAAGGTAGACCTGCCGGTAAACAAAGTACGGTGAACTAAAGATCACCGCCAAAATCCAAACTCCCACACTGACCACACGAGCAGCACATAACGTCCGTCGTTCTCTGGTGAACACTGGACGCCAGATACAGAGTGCTCGATCCACACTGATGACGGCCAGAAGAAAAACACTGCAGAACATGTTGGCGTACTTGAAGAAACCATTGAACTTGCAGAGAAAGAGTCCAAAAGGCCAGTAGTTATAGAAAAGCTTTTTGAGGAGCGAAGTTATACGGGTAAGGCAGAAGATCAGGTCCGCTATGGCGAGATTGACCAGCCATATGTTAGTCACATTGGGCTTCAGACGCCTGCCAGCTATCCAGATGACCAAAGAGTTCCCGGTGATGCCGAAGATAATGGTAACGGTGTAGAGGACAATGGTAACATTATCCATAATGGCATCAATGTCCACTGTAGTTTTCCCATGGTGGGTTGAGATGTCTGAGTGGGGCTGCATGAGAAGAGTTGCATTGGAGGCCATTCTGAGAGACAAATGAAAATGATATACAGTATGTTTGTTCAAATTAAGCATTTTAATTGATTCACAGATGGAATGATTAGCAAGGTCAAAGTCGCCGTTTCAATTCCCAGGGAATGCATGCAGGTAAAATGATATCTGTAATGTGTAAAGTATCTTTAAATAATTCCCAAGAACTACAATACTAGACATGAGTAAATATGAGCACAAAAATATAAGCATCTACATGTACTTCCTCTTATTCACCCAGCACCATTTCCTTGTGTATTTATGGGGTGGTAATTAAAATATTAAGTACAGTTGAAATTATAGTTTAAATATTTATATATATTTTAAATATAGTTTAATCAAGCCATATTGGGCTCTCACATGACAGAAGCCACCCAGCTCTTACTCAGAGTCTGTTTCAAAATATCTGTCTGGAAAAAAAACTGAACCTTTCACCTTCAAAAAAATAGAGAAGTGGAAAGAAAATAAGTGCTTTTAAATGGCACACAGCTGCAGAAACAACTTCATGCACCTGATTCATGCATTTGTGACAGCATTTCATAAAACTTGCAGTCTTTATGTGTTTCACTTAATGTTAGCTAATATCTTTCTGGTACATTGCCATTTCGTGAGCAATTCATCATAAGTGTCATTGCATGCTCGTATTTGAGCGACACCATATGGTAAGATAAATATGAGTTGTCTGGCAACTAAGAGGTTGCAGCATATAAAACTGGTTTAAAAGCAAAGCTAATGTGAGTTATATATTTTGAATTGCTCTGCTGAATCATGAAAGGTCAGAACATCTTATTGTAGTATTTCCATTACATTTAGCATTTACTCACACTAAATATGTTGTGTAATTCTGGCAAGAAAACAGTGAATTGAAGGTAATTAATTCCATGGTGTAAAACCCAATGATACTTCTTGAAAAACAAAAACTGTTGTTTTGCATCAGAGTTAGTTGTGTTTCTCCTTTCATGTTAAAACAGAAAGCAATAGTACATACGAATAAGAAGAACGCAAAAAAGGCATGACAATTTAAGGCAGAGATAGGCAATTTAACAGCTTATGTTTGAAAAATCACATTAAATGTATGGTATATAAAACACAAAAATGCAATAAAATGATTGCACAGCATGGATTGCATTGGAAAATTTTAGTAAAAAAAATATATATATAGCAAATTACCAACTGGATAATGAATTGCTGTGGGTGTTCTTACCTTAGTGAAAGTTTGCTCAAAGAACTAGTTGGCACAATCAGTGTTTGAGGAAACACCACTGCATAGTAATTTGTGAATGTGTCCAGCAGAGACCGAGTAGGAGTGTTAGGTCATGTTCAGTGTGCAGGCAAATAAATATGTGACGTGTTCATTGACATCGTTTCCAGCTCCTCTCCTTCTCTCTGAACCCTTTTCTCCCCTTTTTCATCATGTGATCATTAAGTGTCTTCTTTACAGACAAAGAGAGGACAAACAGGAAAAGGGAGGAGACACAGATGAACAAACACAGAAACATAAATACATATGTGTGTTTACTCCATTATGCCTCTGGGAGAGTTAAAGGGATTATTAAGGGGATTCTCACCCTCCGGCCATCCAAGATGTAGATGAGGTTGTTTCTTCATTGCAACAGATTTGGAGAAATTTAACATTAAATCACTTGCACACCAATGGATCCTCTGCAGTAAATGGGTGCCGTCAGAATGAGAGACCAAATGGCTGATCACAGTAACACACAACACAACTCCAGTCCATCAACTGACGTCTTGTGAAACGAAAAGTTGTGTTTGTAAGAAAGAAATGCATCATTAAAGCATTTTAACTTTAAACTCTCCCTTCTTTTTTTAAGATTTATTTTTGGCATTTTTTGCCTTTTATTTAGATACGACATTGAGCTGACAGGAAACAAAGTAGGAGAGAGAGAAGGGGGCGGGATCGGGAAAGATCCTTGAGCCAGGATTTGAACTCAGGACGCCCGTAGTGCAATGACACAATATGTCGGCACGCTGCCCACAAGGCTAACGGCACAGACTAAACTCTCACTTTTGACCCAAACACCACTCAATAATCCATAATAATAGTTTTCTTCAGTGGAAAAGTCCATCCTCTGTTCACATTAAAATTCACCATCATGCTTGTTTAGATCTGTTTTGGATTGATTTCACTTGTAAATGGATCTTAACCTGTGCATATTTCTCTCCTGATTCAGACTAGATGAATTTTACACTGGAGGAATCAATGTTATGGACAGAGACGTGTATTAAATCCAGAAGCAACAGTTTGAAGTTAATAATGACTTAAAGGTGCACTAAGCAATATCTGAAAAACGCTTTTGACCACAGTGTCGGACCGAGTCCCAAAACACACTTGTAGCCAATCAGCAGTAAGGGGGCGTGTCTTGTAATGATTGAGAGATTTGAGTGCACAGGACAGATATGTGCAGATCGACTATAGGTAGAGAGAGATGGCAGATAAGAAAAGAGGAAAATATCAGAGAAACAAAACATCAATATTAAGGGTTACGACCAGGCAAGAGGTAGGACCCGCGTAAATATCGGAGCAGCTTTCCAGCAGTGGAGAGAACTCAAGGAGCGGGAAGGCCTGGAATCGGACGCCGAGGTTACGTTGTTTTGCGTTGCGTTTTTGATAGGCGAGTAATGTTGATTTTGCATTGTTTCACACAACTTATCCGTGCTGGCTTATGTTTGAATATGTCATCTTCACTTGTTTCCGCGATCGTCGTTGCCATGGTTGTGTGCGTACGTGTGATGTGGAGATTTTAAAATAGGGGCGAGGTCCTGTTGGGGTATGGGCGTGTTTGATTTGGTGCTTTCAAATATCAACATCGTTTGGCAAAATTCGCTTAGTGCACCTTCAATGATGCATTTATTACAAACACAAAACTTTTGGGTTACTTACTTGTGGATTACGGTGATGTTTTTATCAGATGTACTGGCGGCACCCATTCACTGCAGAGGATCCACTGGTGAGCAAGTGATGAACTGCAGAATTTCTCCACATCTGTTCATATGAAGAAACACACTACATCTGGGATGGCCTGAAGGTGAATACATTTTTAGCAAATTTTCATTTTGGGTGAACTATTTATTTAAAGTATATTGTGTATCTAATTACATTCCTGCCTATAAAGCAGTCATTGTGACTGTACATCAAAACATCATATTCTTTTCTGAATTTTGAAAGAATGAATATGCCAATACTGATACTACTAATGATTTTTATAAATGTGTAGAATATTTCACATATAAGCACTGTATACACCCATATTTGCATATAATTTGCATGTCTGGTTCTCTTTGTCAATGTGCCCTATTTTATTATGTGGTTTTGCCTACATATTCTCCATGAATTTTGTTTTCAATCACATATCAGTTCAAATGAAAATGGTTTGAAGTGGTTTCCAACCTTAGATATAAATGGTTCAATGCTGTTTGTGTTTATATTTAATACTTATTAACATTATTTGTTATGGCATTAGAACTATTAGTGAAAAACGATTGTGATGTTTTGTTGTTGTTGTTAAGCGTTTATTTTGTTTCATCTTTTTAACTAATTTAAATTAAGATATGAAAAAGTGGCATTGTTAAATGTTGGTCTGTGCTGCCACCTACAGCTGAGATATAGCATTACAGAACAACATGTAAGAATCTGTGGCCTGACAATCAGAAAAATGTGTATGATAATAGACAGTTATACAGTTTAAGGTAAAAATTAATTGATTTACGCAATGTCAAATGTAAGAAATAATAACGGAACTGACCAAAATGTGAAATTACAGTTAGTAAGGAAGACTAATACAATAATAATACATTTTTAAATAAACAGTTTAAACTCAATGTCAAGTAAATATCCGTACAAGAAAACAATTCAAAAAGAAAACGTATTGTTGCTGTATTTTTGTTTTAAAATATCAAATGCATTTTTGATATTTTAAAACAAAAATACAGCAACAATATGTTTGTAATACTAAGCAGGAAAACATATGTAAATAGAAAATGTGCTGTGTTTTACTTGTGAACACTTTACTGTGCATTGCACAGCTCTATGAAATACTTGATTCTATTTTAATCAATTACTATCTTTAAAGGCTGTCAAAATATGCTATATGAATCTCCATATCATTAGCACTTACATATACCAAAATTTCCAGTTTTATTCCCAGCTATATTCTAAAGGTTTTTACACAGGGTTTTTGTGTAAATCATTCACCTGATTTATATAATATTTTAATTGACAGTATTTTCTGATTTATGGAGTGATAAAAAAAGAGATATCCAAAATCCCCTATGTAAAAACTCTTTTATTTCATTTGTTAAGTTGTTAAGTGAATGTCTGGCAGCTCCACATCAGGTAAAAGTTTCTGGTTATTTTTGATTATAAACCAAATATTCAGTAGTCTAGAATTAATTTAATAGTTTCAGTTTCTCATATTCAGTGTTTCTCTAATGTATGTGTGCTAATGTACACATGTTTATGTACATTTAAAAAATCAGATGATATAATTTTGCAGTTATTTAGTAGCAAATGATAAAATGCCAACAAAGATATAACATTCAAAGCCACATCTGTTTGACTATAAGTGAGCATATATTTTATCCAGATCTCTGCAACATGAGTGGACCAAAAGTCCTGGTCGTCATAATCTGGATATTGAGAGGTTAGAGACTTGCTTTTGTTAATCTGCTGGGTTTGAAAGGTTAGTCTTAAATTAATCCATGAACAAATACTGAATATGTGAGCGTCTCTGTGTTATTTATGATGATGGCTGGTGATTTAACTTTGCACTTCTGTGATTTATTGCATTGTTAAGTCAAGTTAAGCACTTGTATGCTTTGGCATGTGCCGGCCTCCATTATGTATGTGTTAAACTAATGTAGAACGTGCCGTGTGTTTTTTATGTATGCAGGTGCTGCCAGTGACAAATGGGAAATTAAAATGCCTAAGAAAATAGATGCAATAAGTGGCTTCTGTGTTCAAATTCCATGTCAGTTTGAGATCCCCGACTCATTCAAAAAGTCCCTAAACAAATCTGTTGAGGCAACTTGGGAAAAAAACAACCAAAGAGGGGCCAGACGTGCTTAGTTCAAAAAGAACAGGGTTGTCTCTACTAAAAGGAAATGTGATTGGCAACATCTTAAACAAAAATTGCACCACTGTGTTTCACAACTCTCCTGTTGGATTCGGTGACAATTTTTTCTTCAGACTTCAGGGTTGAACCTCTCAAGTACACATTTGAGCAAGGAATATACATTACAGTCCGTGAAGGTTGGAATACTTATTTTCAAAATATAATTTTACTTTTACATACAGTGCCTTGCGAATTTCATACCCCTATTCATATCCCTTCATTTTTTTTTCACGTTTTGTTATGTTGCTGCCTTATGCTAAACTGCTTTAAATTACTTTTTTCCACATCAATCTATACTCCATACACCATAATGGTAGAGCAAAAAACAGGTTTTTAACATCTTCACAAATGTATTAAAAATAAAAAACTTAAATGATTCCATTGCATAAGTATTCATACCCTTATCTGGAACAGTTGAAATTTAGCTCAGGAGCAATCATATTGCTTGTAGATATTACTACACTTCGAGTGAAGTTAACCTGTGGCAAATTCAATTGAATGGATATCATCTGGAAAGGCACACACATCTTAATAAAAGGTCTAACAGCTGATAATGCATATATCAGAGCAAAAACCAAG